GGTAAATTTTATTTTTAATTGATTCTATAAAATGTGATATGACTGGGCTACAGGAAAAGATAATTAATGGGTTCAAATTAAGCATATAGTTATTATCATAGCTATTATTTGATACTTAAAATATGCTTTGATGACACTGGGTTAAGCTTATTCACAAAGCATTTTTAATAGTTCACTTAACAAGATCTTTCTCTGGGGGAAAAAGGAGACATATGTAATACTTTCAACAATAAAGAATTATTTTTTTAAAAAAGATCTTTCTCAATTTTTTCACTTTGTACTCTGCCATAAATGTTAGGTGTTACTGGTGTCAATCTCTTAAAAGCTTTTTGTGAGCTTCAAGTTAAACAAAAATTTTAACAGTTGCAGTAGCAACTAGAGCAACAGCAGGGGCTACCAGCCGTGGGCAAACTACGGCCGAATTCGGCCCGTTTGAAATGAATAAAACTATTGAAAAAAAAGACCGTACCCTTTTATGTAATGATGTTTACTTTGAATTTATATTAGTTCACACAAACACTCCATCCATGCTTTTGTTCCGGCCCTCCGGTCCCTCGAGTTAAAAAGTTTGCCCACCCCTTCCTTGTGCTAAGGAAGAACTTTACAAATGTTATTTCATTCAATCCTCACCACAACTTATTATATGGATGAGGAAACAGGATAAATGACTAGTCAAAGGTGACCCAGTTAGCAAGTAGTTGCGCTCATATTCACCACTACCTCCCCTCAATCCCGCCCACCCTCCCCTTTGCCTGACTCCAGGGTTCATGCTCCTAATCTCTCTATAAAACTGTGGACACTTAAAATGATCACTAAAGTCAGAGGCCCATGTGAAATAGAAATAAACTAGTTAACCCAGTTATAAATAGAAGGCAGAGTTACAATCCAACTCAGATATACAGAGCTACATCCTGATTGGTCTCCCAATCAGATCCCAAAGTATTCATCTTCTTCCCAGAGAAAAAACTTTGAGCAAACACATAAAGAACTCCACTCTAGAGAAAAGGAGAAGCATAAAGGGAGGCAATGAAGGCAATGGAAAGTACTAGATGAAACCAAAGACTTAAAAGGTAAATTTAGGATATCCTTAAATATGTGTGCAATATCCTTGATCTTTCATAAGCAGGACTTAAACATACCTTTTTCTTTGACCCTCAAAAAATGAACACATAAATATTCTGAGACTGCAAGCATCAAGTATAAACTGGTCCTTATAAATAGTAATGTTCACTCAAACCCACGCAGTTTACAAAGCACCTTCACATATAACATTTCATTGAATACTACTGCCCTGTTAGGTAATTTACGAACCCCTTTGTACAGATGTTGAACGAGGGACTTGCCTTCTTACCATCTGTGACTGGTAGAGCCTCCAACTCCTGTCATGTAGCACCAAATTCCAGGCTCCCTCCACACCACATTGTGCCTCCTCATTCCACATCAAAAGGTCACAAACTATCCTGCCTGCCCCATTTGCACAAGTTCATTACCAATATTGTAAAAACAAGTATCAGCTAATAATGACACCACAAGAACGAAGGGGAGAGAAAGCAAACTCGGAATTTTCTCTGAGAGGCTGGTACTTGTTTAGCTCCCAACCTAAGCTTTGCCTAATGTGGTTCCTACAACAGCCCTTCAGGTAGGTGCTGGTGTTCCCATTGCATAGATCAGGAAATAGACACAGGGGCTCAACAACTTAAGGTCACACATTAAGTGACGAAGCAGTGATTTTAACCATGTCACTATGCTAGTAGCTACACTGCCTTACACAATATCACAGTAATACCTTTTTCTGATCAACAATAAAAAATATTTTAGGTTAAAATATTTTAATGTTTTAAAATGTCAGAAAGAAAAAAAAGTACTCTGCCAATTGTTGCTGTCACACTCTCTTCCCAGCAGAGTGCCTTTTCTCCTTCCTGATTTCTCCAGTTTACTCTTAATATCTACTGGTTTCATTGTACCCTGGAAGGAGAGCTAACTGTTAGAACAAAAAGCAATGACATATCCTTAACAAATAGCATTTTATAAAGCCACAGGAATCATGCAAATATTACTTTGTCCTAGGTCTAATTTAATTCTATAAATTAGTATATCAGTTACAAGAATTGTGAGCCTGCCTAAACACTGAGGAAATGGGAACAATGAACAAACTCTGAACAATCATTTTAATCATCACTTTCTGAGGGCTTTAACCAATCCAGACAAGATATAAGTACAAAATGCATTAAAAAGAATCTCATTACCATCCTAGAGTCTGGCCTCCCACCCACCTTATCCTGAAGCATTAGGGATCAACAGCATTAACCTCAAAATACTGTGCCCCTCCCCTCAGGTGCTACACTGCTAAAGGACAGTGATAGATAAAATGTAAACATGACACTATAAGTAGTTTTAAACATGGAAAGATTCCTGACAGACTCCCCAGAACAAAATTTAAGTAGCTTTAACAAGTTAAGCTGTATTTATGATTCCCAAAGGCGGCTTCCTTATCTGCAGCAAACAGGAGGAACATTCTGTTAGCATAAGTTGTACTCATAATGAAGCTGAATAGCTTAACAGGCTTTTAAGGAAAATTCTATGTTCTGGGAACAAATAAGAAAAGCTAAAGTCTATCTGAGCTAAACTGGAGGAGTGGGTGGAAAAGCCAGCCGGAAGGACTAAAAACAGGGCAGGAGTAGATAAAAAGGAAACAGGAAGAACTGGGCTAAAGGAAGTATGAGGCTTAGGGGCAAAGACAGCTAGGGGCAGCTCAGACCTTGAAAAGCAAGAAACCAGTGCCTAACAGTGGTTCTCAACCTTCCTAATGCCGTGACCCTTTAACACAGTTCCTCGTGTTGTGGTGACCCCCAACCATAAAATTATTTTCGTTGCTATTTCATAACTGTAATTTTGCTACTGTTATGAATCGTAACGTAAATATCTGATATGCAGGATGTATTTTCATTGTTACAAATTGAACATAATTAAAGCATAGTGATTAATCACAAAAGCAATATGTAATTATATGTGTTTTTCTGATGGTCTTAGGCGACCCCTGTGAAAGGGTCGTTCGACCCACAGGTTGAGAACCACTGGCCTAGAACCAAAGGACTAAAATCAAGATAAAGGAAATGAACAGGCCAAGACTAGAGAAAATGGAGTTCATTTAAGACGTAGAGGAAGGTCCTCAACAAGGGTAACTATAACTGGTAGAGAATGGAGGCAACTTTTTAGTGCTTTTTAAAAAGTGTTAACTTTAAATGGGTGAACTGTATGGCATGTGAATGATGTCTTAATAAATCTGTTATATGTCTTTTTAACATTTATTGATTTTAAAGAGGGAGGGAGGGGAAGAGAGGGAGGAGACATTGATTGTTGTTGCACTCACTGGCTGATTTTGCATGTGCCCTACGGCGAGTCTCCCTGTGTCTGAGACACCTGTGTTGGAACACATCAGTCTGGAAAGGTGACAGAACTACAGAGGAAGCCTTAGGGGGAAACGGGCAGGTTTTAAAGAGGCCTCTCCCATTCTGCCTTTGGGATTTGGGGCCCTGGGGGGGGGGGGAGGCTTTTTTTCGGGGTATGCCTTGAAGTAGACTATCCGGTTTCTCCCGGGGGTGATCTAGGGCCAACATCTGCCTGGTCAATGAGACAACGATCTGGGGTGGAAAAGTCAAGTCAGCTCTAGAGAAACCCCAGGAGGTTCATCGTGAAGTGATCACAGGGCTTATCTCTGCTCCCCCACACTGGACTGCACGCCCCACGTCACTTCGCCTGCTCATCGTGAAGACAGGCCCACGCTGTGCCCTCACCCCGGGCGCCGCTGGCCAGTTGCCCACTGACGCAAATTAGAAAATCACTCCGGACCGGCCTGGGGGAGGCGAAGCGCCACGTCCAGCCGGCCTGCGGCCCCCGTGCCTCTCAATGTAGGAACAGGGACGCGGAGGCAGAAGGCGAGCGGGGATGCCAGACCGCTCCCCTCCTCCCCTGAGCCGGGTTTCGGGGAGCCGCCCCCTGGGCACCCCATCCCCACTCGCCAGCCTCCGGTCGCGACCCCTGGGAGGAGGGCGGCGGGCGGCGGCGAGCGCCCCCTGGAGCACAGGCGCCCCTTCCCCGGGCAGCCGTCGCCCCTCGCCTCCCGGGAGCGATAGGCTATCGATTCAGCGGCCTGTCGCTAGGCGCCCCGGGAGCGAGGCCTACCCGCCCGGCCGGAGCCCCGGCCTCGATTTCGCCACTCTCCCCACACCAGCGGCAGAGCCCGGGGAGGGGGGCGGCCAGCCCAGCCCAGCCCGGAGGGAGGCCAGGGGCGGGGAGCCCACCGGCAGCGGCAGCCGCGGGAGGGGACGCGGCGCGGGGCTCCCCGCCAGCCCGTCTCCGGGGTCCCACTCGCCGCCCGCCGCCTCCCAAGTTGCGCACCCAAGTTCGGGCCGGCTCTCCGCCCGCAGAGCCCGCGACACCCCCGAAACCGCCCCGCACACCTTTCGGAAGGAGATGGAGCCGGGCCCCGAGCGCGCGAGGGGGCGGCCCGCAGCGAACCGCCCGCCACCTCCCCCGGCGCCCCGGCCCGACCCTTCCAGCGACGGCCCCGTCCCCCCGTCCCTGGCCCCGGTCGCCGCGGGGGCTCGGGCGCCCCGGCCTCCCCCTCCTCCGGCCCCCCAAATGCCCCCACCCCCTTGGAAGGGCGCGAGGAAGAGTTTCCCACCCAACTTTACCAGGAGGGCCCCTCGCCCCTCCCGGCCCGCACTCGCGGGGCGGCCAGCAGGAGCGATCACTTTACACTCGGGAGAAAGAGAATTCAGGACCTGTCAACCATTTTGGGTCCTTTTTATAGAAGACATCCTCTCCCCCCGCCCTCCCGCCCGCCCTCCCCCGGCCGCGGTTTCCATCTGACACCGAGCCTTCCCACCGCAGGAGGGGGTGAGGAGGGAGGAGGTGGGGACGCAGGGCAGGAGGAGGGCGAGCGCCGGGGGTGGGGGGGACGGGAAGGGGCCGCGGGGCGGGGAAGGGGGTTGATTTACCTGAGACCAGCCACTGGCCTCCATTGTTGGAGAATTCAATGGCATTGACACAGCCGAAGTGGCCGAGGAGGTCCTTCTTGTAGAGGTTCCGGCAGCCCCGCAGGCGTCTCCTCTGAAAGTCCTGAGTGAGCAGGGGGTCCCCATGCAAGCCCCGCTGGGACAAGAAGCCCACCACTGACCTCATGCTGCCCCCCAGGCCAGTTCTCCTCTTCATCCTGGAACCGCCGCCGCCGCTCGCGCCGCGCCCCTCCCCGGGCCCCCGCGCGGCCGCCGCTCCCGCCCGGCCCTCCCCCCGCGCTGCGCTCCGGGCGGCGCTTTAACCCGCCATGGCAGCCCGAGCGCGGTGTGCAGGCTCCCGGCGGCGTCCGCGGCTTCCTGGCGGCGCCCGCCCTCCTCCCCGCCAGGCCCCGCCCCCTCCCTCCCCGCCGCCGCCTCCTCCTCCTCCTCCTCCTCCAGCAGCTGATGCCCAGCTGGGGCCGCGCCGCGGCGGGCCGCGGGCGCCGGGAGAACGCGGGCGGCGGCGCCCCTCCCCCGCCGCGGGCTGCGGCCGGAAGAACGCGGGCGGCGGCTCGGCTCTCGCGGCCGCGGCTCCACCTCGCGCGCGCGGGGCCCCGGGGGACGCCGGGCGGGGGCCGCGCTGCCCGCCCTGCGCTCCGCACTCTGTTAAGTTGGGGGCGCGTAACAATCCCCGTGGCCGCGGGGCTGCGGGCTCGCCTTCCTACCCGCGCGGCTCCCCGACCATCGCCTCCCGGAGGCCCCGCGCCGGGACCCGTTCGGCCCCCCGCCCCGCTCTCCTTTTCCAGGTCGGGAACATGCAGCCCGAGGGCGCAGAGAGATGAGGGCGGGCCGCGGGCAGGGGCTGCGGCCAGGCGTCTTCCCTCCTCTCGTCTCAGCCCGGGGTCGCCCGAGCCCTGTCCAAGGGAAGGGAGCCAGGACTCGCGGGGTAAGGTTGCTTAGGGGTTTTGTGGGTGCACCCGTTCTTACCCCTCCAGATACATGTTTAACACGGCCCCCCTCCCCGTTCGGTGCTATGATTTCCCCTCCGGCGATTCGGTAAAAGGCTAAACTTGTACCGTCTGGTAGATAACGGAGCGGTATCTGGGGGAAAAGAGGGTGGGAGGAGGATGCTTAAAGAAGTGAAAAGACAATTGCCAAAACCGACTTGAGAAAGCTCTGAGATGCAGAGAGGACTCGTGTCCATTAGTTCCAAGTGCGTTTGCAAGACACAAGAAGCATTATTCGAAAATAGGGATATATGTATGTTGTTTCATTGGGTGCGGTGAGCTCCTCCTCAAGGTCTCAAGTGTGGGCGTCTGGGGCTGCACAGCTGTCAGCCAGCAGCTGGTTCCAGGCCTGAAGGAGCTGCACTTCAGCAGGCTGGGAGCCTTGGCCTTGACCCCAGGGAGGTTAAGTGCTTTGGAATTCTACCAGATCCAGTGAAAAGCCCCCTTTTCAGTGTGTTGTAGTACTTTTCCAAGGAGCTATCCTCTGTCAGTAAATGGCAGTACGCTGCTAGAATAGGCAGGTGTCAGTTTTGCCCTTTGAATTTCACAGAAATTACATCCTCTGTGCTAGAGAAGGCATATGGTAGTCAGTTAGTATGCTGCCATAAAAGATGGGCTGAACATGGAAAACATTCACCCATCAAGAAAAATCACCTACTTCTACTTTTTTGTACAATGACGACAAGATGACTGATAAACTAATGACAAATATGCAAGTAAATGTTTAAAAGTCAACATTATCACCAAAAATGCTGAAGTTAACAGCAATTCACCAAATCCCAGAAATTATGGTTTAAATGGGATATTATTTCCCTAAATAGGAAAATGTATAGTGCTTTAAAAAAGCTTATTTTATTCTCAGGATGCTTCGTCAGTGTTTAATATAATAGCCTCATAAAAATCAGTATACCAGTGTGATTAAATAGCAATATCATAATGTATAATTAATCATTTATTTTGTGATTACATCGTAGTGTCCTCCACTCCGCTATCAGCTATAAGCTTTCTGAGAGCAGGAATGGACCATGTCTGTTCTGCTCATGGGTATATGTCCAGAGCCAACACATGCCAGCACTTAGGGAGTGGGGAGGAATTTGGAGAGGAAGGTAATGACTCAGGTAGGGTGTGTTGAGTTTGAGGTGTCTTCATTCCAGTGCAGACAATTTCAAGGCCAATTTTCCATTTCACTGTTTCTTTGCTTGGCATACTTACTCTGCACTTTAAAAAATGGAGTCCTCCAGCTCCTTTCAATTAGTAGAGCATCATTTATACCTATCTTATTTGCCTGGGGTGAGGGTTATGGGCATGGTAATGGTGTGGTTGAAGTGGCCTTCATTGTGGCAATATTGAAGACACACAGTCCTCTCCCTTTTTTCAGCACTTATCTCTTCTCCCCAGCTTTAAATGAGACTTGATTTTCCCCAGTCTCTGGAATAACTGCCCCATTTACCACAGCCTAAAAATAGACCAGGACCTGGTCGGATGCCAGCCCAATTCCAGGATTTTGCTGGAAACTTCCTTAACTTTCACTGACCAGCCAGGACAGATATGTAGACAACTCAGTCTGTCTATATCCTACAGCTACTCTGGACCGCTCTCTGTAAGGATAGTACATAAAACCGCTCTCTCCTTATTCCCATAATTAGGTTGCCAGATAAAACACAGGCTGCCCAATTCAATTTGAATCTCAAATGAACAGTGAATGATTACTTCAATAATTACTATTTGCTAAATCTGGCAACCCTACCTATAACATAACCCAACTTAAGAAGATCAAGTCCCATAGTATCTATTTGCTTTTATTAAGAATTTAACATACTCCCTTGGGTCATTTATTGCAAACTAATAATATTGTACATAACTATATAACACGAACATTTCATCAACTTCAGTGACCACATGAGGATGGCCTTTCTGATAAAGGCATTTATAGTGAAAAGGGCAGTGTACTTAGCAAGTGGAATTGGACACGTGAGTAATCTTTCCAGTGTGTAGAATGTGTGGAGGAAGAGAGAGAAAAGTGAAAAATTCCTATTTTTCTTACTGAGGCCAAGAAACTCCTGTATATTAACATTCATACTCAGGAAGCCCTGAAACACTGTTTTATAAATTCATCATGGAAAAATCAAGATACTGAAATTACTTAACCCTTACTTAATCACTCCACCAAGGACTGAATACTGATCAAATGTAGAGTTCCCAGAATTCATCTACTCTTTGACTTCTATTTTGCTTGGCCCTGATATCACTGGTAAAAGCATAAAGAATCTTTAAAAATTGACTGAATGCTAAGGAAAAGTTCAAACATCAGAAATTGTTTGTTTAAAAAAAAACTAAGAAAATATTCAAACATTCAAATACTCTCAAACATTTACTAGATGTTAATATATTAAGAGCTACATATGGATACTAACATGCTCAGAAATTTTTCACTTAAAAATATTTTCAACTTTTGCTCCGGCTGGTTTTGCTCAGTAGTTAGAGTGTCAGCCTGCGGATCGAAGGGTCACAGGTTTAATATTTGAGGTGCATGCAGGAGGCAACCAATGAATGTTTCTCTCAAGTCTTCCTCGTATCCCTTCTACTCTTCTGTACATCAGTGGAAAAAATGTCCTCAGGTGAGGATTTAAAAAAAATAATAAAAATATTTTCAACTTTAAAATAAACTGCTACTCATAGATGACATTAATTCAGACAAATAATACATATTATATATATAGTTTAATTGTAATGTCATTTAAATTTTAAAGGATACATTATTCATTGGTCATTTCAAATAGCAGTCTAAATTTGGGGGGAGGGAAGAAACTGATCTATTTAAATATGTTTTTATTGATTTTACAGAGAGGGGAAAGGAGAGAGATAGAAACATCAATGAGAGAAAAACATCAATCAGCTGCCTCCTGCACGCCCCCTACTGGGGATTGAGCCGAAAACCTGGGAATGTGCCCTGACCTGAATCAAACTGTGACCTCGTGGTTCATAGTTTGATGCTCAACCACTGAGCCTCCCCAACCGGGCAAAACTGATCTATTTAAATACAAATTTCTCCAAAAAGATCTATAGGACCTACATCCTTTCATTTTTTAAATAAGAACTTTACTAGGTATAATTGACATGCCATAAAATTCATCCTTTTAAAATAAAGGGTGTCCCAAAATTCACGCAATAAGTAATTTTGATAGAAAACACAGGTTTATAATTAAAAATTGTAAATTTTTTATTGATTCATAAAGTATACAGTATAGGGTTATGTATGGAATAGCATATCGGGTAGATGGCCTCCACGGCTTTGCTGGCACATACGCACTCTTTTGTTGAAATTTTCCATGACCGTTTTGCATAAATGTGGCTGAATGTCGCTGAGGCTCATTTTCATCTTGATGGCTTGGTTAATCGACAAAATTGTCGCATTTGGGATTCAGAAAATCCACGAGTAATTGTTGAGAAACAAATGCATCCACAACGTGTCACTGTTTGGTGCGGATTTTGGGCTGGAGGCATCATCAGACCATTCTTCTTCAAAAATATGGCTGCTCAGGCAATAACAAAAGAGTGCGTATGTGCCAGCAAAGCCGTGGAGGCCATTTACCCGATATGCTATTCCATACATAACCCTATACTGTATACTTTATGAATCAATAAAAAATTTACAATTTTTTGCCGAAACCGGTTTGGCTCAGTGGATAGAGCGTCGGCCTGCGGACTGAGAGGTCCCAGGTTCGATTCCGGTCAAGGGCATGTACCTGGGTTGCGGCTGATCGATGATTCTCTCTTATCGATGTTTCTGACTCTCTATCTCTCTCCCTTCCTCTCTGTAAAAAATCAATAAAATATATTTAAAAAAAAAAAAAAAATTTACAATTTTTAATTATAAACCTGTGTTTTCTATCAAAATTACTTCTTGCGTGAATTTTGGGACACCGTTTACAAAATTCAGTGGCTTAGTATATTCACAAAGTGGTCCAACCATTACCACTATCTAATTCTGGAACACTTTCATCAGCCCAAAGAGAAACCCCATTCACATTAGCAGTCACTCCCCATTCCTCCCTCCCTTTAGCCGCTGGCAACAATTTAGGTATTTATTGTCTCAATAGATTTTGCTATTCTAGATATTTCATATAAGTGGAATCATGGCAATATGTGGCCTTGTGTCTGGCTTTCTTTATTTAGCATGTTTTCAAGGTTCTTCCTTGTACCATGTATCAGTACTCCATTTTTTTCTAAACCAAATTATATTCCATTATATAGGTATGGACATTTGAGCTGTTTCCACTTTTTGGCTATTGTGAATACTGCTGCTATTAACAATTGTGTTTCAGTTCTTGTTTGGACATGTTTTCATATTTCGAGTATATACCTACTATCACTATGATAACCCTGTTTAACTTCATGAGGAACTTCCAAGCTGTTTTTCCAAAGTAGCTGACGATTTTATATTTCCGTCAACAATGTATGAGGGTTCCAATTTTTCCATTTCTTTGCCAATGCCTATTGTCCATCTTTTTTCTTATAACCATATAAGTGTGTGAATGGTTTCTTATTATGCTTTTGATTTGCAATTCCCTGATGGCTATTGATGTTAAGCATCTTTTCATGTCCTTATTGGCCATTTGCATATCTTCTTTGGAGAAATATCCAGATCCATTCATCTCAAGGTGTTTTCTAATTTCCCTAGTGAATTCTTCCATGACCAATTGGTTATTTAAGAGTGTATTGCCCTAGCCAGTTTGGCTCAGTGGATAGAGTGTCGGCCCTCAGACTGAAGGGTCCTGGATTCAATTCTGGTCAAGGGCACATACCTCAGTTGCAGGCTCAGTCCCCAGCCCTAGTCGGGACATGTGCAGAAGGCAACCAATCGATGTGTCTCTCTCAGATCAGTGTCTCTCTCTCTCTCTCTCTCTCTCTCTCTCTCTCTCTCTCTCTCTCTCTCTCT